TTAAACAGTGGTATTGTTGTTAACAAAAATTCTAAAATTTAAATGAAAACATTTGAAAGCTTTTTTGTTGCTAAATAACATACAACTAGAATAAACTTTTAAAAAACGAACCTAAAACTAACAATGAAAAAGTGAAAACCAACAAAAAAAACTAAAGTCAGATTTAAAATAAAAACTAAATTAGAATTCAAAACTATAACAGACCTGGATGAACAGTTCAAATGCTAAAATAGTATTATCTTCTGAAATCCCTTTACTAAAGTACGCAATCATAACGACATTCACCTGTAGAAGGCATGGATTTCTGTGATAGCACGATATAGTCCGTTGGCAGCACTGGGACTGATGAACTTAAAAAGAAGAACCTCGCTGTCCTCACTGTCTTTTGTAATGGTCACATACACATTCCTTCCAGACTGAGTGGCCATTTGAATGACTGGGTAAATGATTCTGAAAGAAAAAATGAAGAGGTGATGTTACAGACATTTATTTGAAATATCTGAAAGACCCGGCGTTTCTTGTTTTTGTTGTCATACATATGCACCTTTCAATAGGGGTGAAATCTGTTTTGCAGACAAACAGGCCCTCTGGTCCGACCCCGATGAGCAGCTCCTGTCCCTCAGAGTCACGTGCGGAGTGCCACTCGACGCCATAGTAGTTGAGGGAGGAAACCAGCTGCAGGGCTTGATATTCTGCTGAAGCCTGACTAACACCCTCCAGTGACTTATGCCTCAAAAAAATACTATAAAAACACAAAAGACACCACTGTTATTCCACAAAACTGTCTCAGTCACTTTCTTTCTGCGGCATTCAGAGGAAGAATTACTTTAGTGTTATTTGGAGGAAGAACAGATGTTATTCTGACTGAGAATATACACTTTCCGGTGGTCTTACTTATTGATGGTGTCATGGCTGGGGTCTTGACCGTAGATCTGGGAGTAGCAGTAGTTGGCTGTGTTATGGTTGTGATCTCCAAACTCTGCCTGAGCCAGTAATGCACAGAGCTCAATCGCCTGCTCCATGTCCAATCGCAAGCTTCCTTTGAAAAGCTCTTCTTTCACGTGCATCAGAAACAAATGTCTGCAAAACAACAGAAAATACATGGATACATTAAATAAATCATTCATAACAAGACAGTGAAGTCTATTCGATTAGGAAAAAGAAGCGCATTAGACAAGTATATATACTTACACATGAGTTATTATTTTCCTAAATGTATAAATTCCTAAATTTTTCTTATAGTAAATGGATGATGCAGTGTATGGAATATAGACACAGAAAAAGGCAAGAAAACTGAAACCTATAAATGTGGACATAATCATAAAGCAAGCTTCAGCTTCTTACTGAAATGTGCTGAATCATGCCCTAAGGGAAAAGAAACCTTCCATACCTCCACTTCATAACCATAAAGGCAGTTGTATCATATTTGATATGTGAATATCTAAGGACTTAAAAAAAAAAACTATCAATGATCAAAAATGTGTTCTAATCTAATCCATGCTTGCTGCTTTCTGATCAATAGTTAATACTTTAAAAATGTCCCCTTCAGGCTATGGCACACATGTCTTTTTGCTGTAAAATCTTTGATGATTTTTATCAAATAAATGCAAGAATAGGTTTTAGATTTGTATTAATATTTTAAAGATAAACATTTACTATACTGAGGCAGCTTAGGTTTATGTGATTATCTATAAAAAAATTGAATCATGTTAAAATACATGTATCAATTAAAATACAACAGGCTTTTGAGGAACAATTAATTTTATTTTATTTTAGGAATGTTTGTTTATTGCATTGCATTATATGTTTGACCACACAATTAAAACCACAGAGCTTTTGTCATAAAACTAAGCATTTAAATATCATCTTACATAGACATATTATAGGGAGATATAGAGTGACAACTTATATTATATGCATTCTATTAAACTGATATTTTTATGCAAACAGTCTGCTTTACTGGTATATAAATCTCATTGATCTACATTACATGTTATCAGAGTTTCAACTTACTTTTTGGCCAAATAAATAACAACATCTGAACCAAAGTGCATATCTTTTCTCAGTTTGGGCCTCTGAATAAAACTGATGTGCTTTTTCTTCCTTGAGTGTGAGCTCCGTATTCTCATACATATATGAGCCATACAATCCTGATGTATCAAATATGATAAAAAACATATGAAAACTTTATATTTTCTTTCATATTTTGTCTAAAAGTTCCGTAACCTATTCTATTCACTATTATTTCATATGTCAGGCTTTACAGGGTTTATTGAGATGCCAGAGTGTGACAATAACATGATCATCATTTTTTAAATCATCATTATAATATGTAGTTGTATCACTCAGAAATGTTCATGAACTGTCAGCCCACTGATATAATCTAAAAAATGAGCTGGCTTGAAGCCAGGTTTACTCAGCAGCCTAAACCCAGTGAACTTTAGTAACAGAAGCAAGACTTGTGACTTCTGGCACATATTTCTATAACTTCACATAAATCACTTGTACATGTGAAAACAGGGAAGAGATAGATACAAGAGATAGAAGAGAAAATACATTTACATACTTTTCAATAATGTAATGAAAACTATTGCCAACTGACATATGTACAGTATACTTTGATTAGTACTGCATCGCATAAAGACAAGTAGCTTATTAAGCCAATATGCATTTTAACATAAGACAATGAAGTCCACAGCCTGCACTATAATAAGTGATCTGTTGACATAGTCATGCATTTAAAGGCTGAGAAAGAATAACAAAGGCTGATGGAGAGGGAGCTGGATTTTGTCCCGCCATTGTATAAGATTATGCAACAGGAAGAATCACATTACAGTACGTTTCAACTCAGTCAGAATCAGACATACTGACACCTCCCCACCCCCACCAACAGCCCTCATCAGACGTGACCGAACAGCTCCACTAGATTCTAGTTGGGAACACACTGTACTACCACTGTATTCTGGAGCATCCCACAAAACGCCTATGCCTAATTTTATTGAACTTCAGTGAACATTTGTAAAGATTTGAGCATGCACACACAGATGTCCCTTAAAAGCCTCCAGAGGAATATTATTTACTTCAGCAGGCCAACATGAGGCACTCCCTAACTGAAAGAGTGCCAGTTTCAAGAGCAAACATGTACACAGGTAACTCCCTGCCACAGAGGTAAAAGAAAGACATCATATGAATAGATGCATGGAGATGTGGGTCAAAGTTAAGAACACAAAACAACAGAACCACCGAAGCATACTGCATTTTAAAATATAGTGTCACTTTAAGCACTATAGGCAGCTGCTTCCTGTTTGCACTCATGAGAAAAACAACCCCCCAAAAAAACAGAACTCTCATCCACGTGCCTCAAGTTCTCCAAGCTGAGCAAAAATGTGAAACCTCAAAGACTGCAGCAACAGACAGATCCTGTTTTTTGTTTGTTTGTTTGTTTATTTTGCAATAATGGAAAAACTATGTTCTGTGCATAATTATGCACAAACTATGAGCACTAAGATAGAATATTACAACTTATATTCAATTTGGCGGTGTTTCACCTGGTTTGCTCTTGCAGGATTAGATGTGGCTCAATAAAAAACTTGACTCGCAGCCTCAGTCTGCAGGGAGACAGGCAGTCCACTTGTTGAGAAATCCTGTTTCTGAGATTCATCCATAAAATCTCTCCTTTTGTACCGGTGAACTGAAGTCCAAAATAATCTACCTCGATGATTCCCATTTTCCGACATATCTGTACATTAAAAAAAACAACATTAAATGGTAATTTTTTGGATGAATAAGTATGTGCACTTTGATCTAAAAAAATGCTGGGACTTGGGCTCTTAGCACCCTTCCTCCTTTAGAAAGACAAGACATATTACATAAGAGGGACTTTTGAAGTGTAATATGGTATGAGAGAACATCTGTTTTCAAAGTAAATTGCTGATGCACAAAAAATTATACAAAAGAATGAGGATGAGTTCTTACAATCTTTGTGTGTAGACTAGAGTTTTCCATAATAGTGAATTTCTTGCAGTAGAAAGTCACAAATGTTGCAAATTAATTCATGTTAAAATAATTCCTTGAAATAATTTAAATGTAAAAAATAATAAAAAAAGTCGTTATTTTTAAACAATAGATGAAAATGACAAACTTTTGTGTTCTATACAGTAATTTGTCATGACATACATTACATTTGCTGTCTTGGATATGATGCTAATGAGCACGTGATAATTAAGAAATGATTAGATAACTTTAACAACCTAAACTTGATATTTTAACTTGAAATGTGCATTCCTGGCGCTCACCTTATTAAGAATGTCCTCTCCATTTGCTTTTGGGTCCACCTCCACTTCGAGAACCACCGAGTCCGGACGAGTTATGTGGCATAACATGGTGAATGCAGTTATTCTTTCACACACAGTCCAGGATAGCGGAGAGAAGGTCCCGTGGCTCACGAGGCTGGCTCGTACCCCATTGGAAAACCAGCGAGGGCAGGTTTATGAAGCCCTGCTCCAACTCAAGGATCCGCCTCTCCGTTATCAGATGTCCGATTCCGAATCATTCTTTTAAACGGGTTCTTTTTAATGATTCGATCGAACCGATTCGCAAAGCGTTTGTTCCACACTCGTCGCCATCCAACCATTTATGTACAAGGAGAAACGAAATTGTGAAATTGTCTTCCACAGGTCATGCCAATTTACATTGCATTACAAACAACTGAATTTTAAATCATGAATTTTACGATTGAAACAACTGAATTTGAACGACTTTACACACAGAATACTGAATCATCACATAGCATTAAAAATGGCATAGCACTTTAAAAAAATGGCATACTTTAAAAACATGAAGCTCACATTTGAACATAAATAATATTTAAACAACTGAACAACAATATGGACAACAATATAGATTTATATAAATATATTGAACCAGTTCATTGAAACGAAAAGTGTACTGAACCGATTCGCTGTAATGAATTGGAGAATCGCTGAACAACCCTTCAGTCACGTTCACTCTCAGTTTTAGGGGGCGTGTGTTTAACTAGTAACGTACAGGAAGGGATCACGTTAGTACAGCTATCCGACGGACAACGAGAAATAATATTTTTAACTTCAGACAAACTGGGTGTGAAAATAATATAGTGATCCAAATCCACTTGAGAAGACAAAACAGTGGCTGCATGAATAAGCCAACTAAGTTAGTCCTACAGACATTGTCCGACGGAGCAAAGCCCACATCGGGACATTAGGACATTGTCATCTGACAAAGGATGACTGAAGCCCTCGTGAAAGACTGTAAGCAAACACAGATCTAATCGAAATGTCCTCCACGCATGCATAGAAGGATTAAAGCAGCTCAAGGACATGTTTGAGAATTTCAGAGAGAGACTGCAAACGGTGCAGCAGGACTTCACATCAGGGTATGTATATTTACCGCCTGGCTGCTTTCATACTCTCCGGGGTCTTAATAAGATGTTGAGGTAGCAAAATTATGTGACCTTTCGAACCTGTACAGGTATTACACAATATTGACACAACTTGTGCTTTGGCTTCCTCACGAGAGTGTCCACTATTCAGCGGAGAGCCGAGAAGTGGATGCTAGCTAATTAGCCTGCTAATCATCTCACTTACAGCAAAGTGTGTAGTTTGTTTTTGTCTTAGATATTCACAAAACAAAATAAAAATAATGGGTATAAAAATGAAGTGTATTCAATAATGTATTTTTATGGGATGAGGGACACATTCGAGCTGTTCAGTGTTGTCAAGTTAGCCGCATGCTAACAACTGCAATCTGGAATTGTACTAATAACTTCCAGCTGACCGTCATGTGATGGGCGAGACCGTATTTCTGCGTTTTATGACACTTTTCTCATAAAACTTTTTTTTTTTTTACACGGTGTCAACGTAAATGTTTCCAAATGACAGTGGGTGCATTAATAAATGGGTGCAGTAATAAACCGAACAAACTTAAACATATTTAAGTAATCGAACACAAATACAATATGGTACTTTTGTACTTTGGCGTATTATTTAGATATTTACTGTCTCATATTTTAACACTTTTCAGAATCAAGACCCTAAGTGACAAATCCAAGGAGTCGAAAGTGAAGAAGAAACAAAGGTAAGCTATAGCAAGTTTAAAACCTCTCAGTGTATATATACTGTATAGTATAATAAATATAAATAAAGTTTATTACACCTTTAATGTCATGTTTTATTTTTTTCTGAGCAAAAAATTTAATTATGACAATCATATATTTTTATCATGATTTACAGAAGACCCCCACTAAAATGTCATGCAATATCTAATAACCTTTTCAGGCATATTTAGAGCAGAAACTATTAAATGACATTAAAAGACTCTCTAAGGATCACAGTACAGTCCCCAAAACTAATTAATTGTAATTTTAAATCTTTACAAATCTTTTCCATGATCCTTCAAACCGCAAAGTTCTACCAATTTGTCAGCAAGACGTTTTAATTAATTAAAATACAATCAAATTTAGTCTGATCACATTTTCTTTTATATAGTTTAATAAGGACAGGTCAGAATAAGTATGTTGTTTCATTTTAACATAAATATATATGTTACCCTGAAATATTTGACACTTTCGTTACATTTAATATGCTTTCTATGTATAAAATGCAAACACCAAAATTGTATGTCTCATCTTTGACATTTTTGTATGTTTTTTTATATTTAATATTTATTTTATGTATGTATTTTATTATGTATATATTCTCCCAGAAGAGATGAATACTTTCCACAATATTCCGCTGGAGTCGAGTTGCTCAGTCGGTAAGTTACCTTTTTTTAAAAAAAAAATTATGTCAGTGCAGTGGAATCCATTTAAAGAGTCAAGGGAATATTTTCATAAATACCTGAAGTTGATAAATGTATTCATGACCATGTTTTGAAATGTTTGGCCATTGTCTTCACCAGATATGAAGACACTTGGGTGGCTCTTCATAAACGGGCTAAAGAGTGTGCTAAGGCCGGGGAAGTAAGTTCACACATCCAACTCTGTACAGTTGAGGGATTGTGGTGCTATAACTATGGTAACTAAACTCAACTCTGCTTGTCTCTGTCTGTCAGAAGGTGGACGGGGAAGTCGTGATGCTGTCTGCACACTGGGAGAAGAGACGAGGAGCAGTGCTGGAACTGCAGGAACAGCTGCAACAGATCCCTGCTTTCCTCTCGGACCTGGAGACTGTCACCTCACGTATCGGTGAGACTTTCACAAACAGTCATCACGCGATAAGAATCTTAATCAATGACAAATCTGAGATATTCATCCAGGCCTACCGTTAGAGAAGGAGGTTATTAATATTACCTTAGTTTTAAACAGCTCATTTGGATTCACAGACAAATCTTCCCTTCTGCCATAGTTCTCAAAGCTCATTTGTACTTTCATGTATTGAATCTTAATCCCCAGCTGACACAATCGCTCTTGTCTTGCCAAATTTGAATATAATATAACATGAGCTGCTGTGTAAGGAAGGATTATCAGTGAATAATGACCTAAATTTCCACATGTTCCTCATGCAAATCTACGATCAGTTCAGAAAACTTGAAATAAAGTTATATAAACTATTTTTTTATATGTATCTATCTTATCTGGCCTTAAATGGAGCTTTTACTGTGACAGTAGAGAAATCAGATCAACCTTGACTGCCTTTGCAAAGCATTTGTCTGCGCACAAAGCTTCACACTCTGTGTGTAACTGTGATACAGGGCGGTAATGAGAGTGATTCCTGTGGAGCTCCATCTGCTGATGTCAGTTGCTGTTGTTCATGCTGTAACATTGCACCTATTGGCTTCAGGCATTAATCTTCAGACTTGGCTCCCTTACAAAATGTATTGTGTAGCCGGAGACTAAACAATAGCCAGATAAAGTCTAGTGGTTGCTCTGATCGTTCATTTGTTATAAGCTCTTTTTGCTGTTTTTTCTTTTGTAGAGTTTTGGACAAAATAAGTTTTCTGTGTAATACGGTATGTAGGCTACCTGTAGTTAGTCAAACTGTGATGCATTTTTCTGGACTCTTTCATGAATGGAAGATTAAAAAGAACAGCATTTATTGGAAATAGAAATCATTTGAAACATTGTAAATGTCTTTGCCATCACTTTTGATCAATTGAATGGTTAATAAAACAGTACTGTACTTTATATGCATGAAGTAATCAAGTGTTAATACCTCCTCCTCTTCCACCTTCTTTCCAATCAAAGCAGATATGACATATTACATTCTGTCAGAGGTTTCAGAGCTTGAATTCAGAAAGAACTGTAAATTCTAATGGATTTATATCAAGGGCACTTTTTAGTGTTGCCACTTGGTGGTGTTATGTAGCTGTATGAAGTCCTGCCTCTGTGCAAACTCATACTGACACCAAACAATTTGCCTTTATGTATTACTGACTATACAGACGAAATGTACTTTTCTTAATGGAAATGACAAAATGTCACCATACCTTGCATCCTAAATCAGAACTGTAGAACTCGGTAGCTAGTAGTAATGGTATATGGTTCCAGTTTGATAGGATGGACACATTCATAGGGGCTTTGACATTTTTTTAATACTGTACATATTATTTTCTTTAGCATAAACCTTATTACTTTTTCATGCTTTTGCACAGCTCATCTTGAGGCTGACTTTGAGGAGATGGAGAGTCGTCTGCTGTATCTCGAGGATTTGTCTGCTCAATGTGAGCATCAGCGCTTCAAGCACCTTCAGATCCTGCAGCTGGAAAACTATAAGAAGAAAAAAAGGTAAAAACAGTGTTGATTTGCTCTTAAATAAAGCCCCAGACAGTTTGATGTGCCCTTTATGTCTATTAAATCACAATAACTGCAGAACACGAAGGAACCGTCTATCAAGGGTTTGCCCCTTTAACTTAATAAAAGATCAGAACATAGCGTGTCCTTTTGGCAATATTTTGCACTCTGGCAATATTGAGAGCATTTTATTGAAAACACCCAAATATCCTTGTACTCTATGAAAACCACAAACAAAATATAGGCTCAAGGAAAGCATGTATGTGTATTGTGTAATCTTACAGGCATCTGTGGTTCTTTTGATGCTGCGTGCTCTTACTGTTTCAGCCTGCAGCTAAATCATACATATCTGGCTTTGCCCAGTGAGTTGGAAAGCAGCTGGGCTCAGTTCTCAGTGGCCTTCTGCTTCTGCGTGTGGGTATTCATTACTACAAACACACAGATGCAAAAGTTGTCAGCGCCAGTGAAATGCTGCAGCCTCTTTATCTCTGGAATCTGGGTCTGTTTTAAATGGGGCGGACTTAATGTGACATCTGGTGAGATCGTGTGCTGTGTAGTTGGCTATATATGTATACATTAATGTAACCCCCCTTTATTTGTTTTCTAGGAAAGAGCTTGAGTCTTTCAAAGGTAAGAAATATTATTTTTTAAATCCCAAAAAGCATAACCTGCCAACCTCCACAGCTAATACTAATATATAGATAATATATGTGTTCACAAATCGTTATAACATTAGTTTCTTTTATTTATAATTCTAAAATTTATTTATATATATTTTTTCAAAAAACACATTTCAAATGATATTCTTTTTAACTTTATATTCATCAAAGAATAAATATAAAGAAACGGATCATGGATTCCACAAAACAAAAACGAAAAAATGACAGCACGGTTCTTGATAACTAACGGGGCTGACGAGACGTGAGACGTGTGGATCCATCTGCAAGCTTCCAGAGGACCACCATGGCGGAGCAGAGAACCAGCAGAACCAGACAGTAGACCACCACGGTGGGCCAGAGGACCACCACGGCGGAGCAGAGGACCACCAGCACCAGACAGTAGACCACCACGGCGGGGCAGAGGACCACCACGGCGGAGCCGAGGACCACCAGAACCAG